GTGCCCCTGCTGCTGGCAGGGGGGTTGGAACTGGATGAGCTTTAAGGTCCCTTCCAATCCAAACCAGTCTGTGATTCTATGAAGAAACAAGTCACAGTTATTTTTTTTTGTGATCTGCTATAGAATGAAATAATTAATACTTTTATTATTGATTGTATTATTGCAGTGCTCACACATGATAAGGGGTCCTGTCATGAGAAGCTTACAGCCAAAGCCAACAAAAGGTCAGATAGAGGTGTCCAAAGAATTAATGAAATAACATTGATGAGTATGGGCTCTCAGCAGTGCTTTGAGATACGGTCAGACGTTGGGATTGATCCTGTTAACTGCAGATGATGAGAGAGGATAAGGGGGGGCTAGTCTGAAGGAGGAAACTGGATTGTAACTGCTGTTCAGTAAAATTTTATACTAAAAGGGTATTTTTTTATGTATGAAGAAGAGGGTGAAGGTTTTTGAGGTGCTGGTATTGCTTGTGTTGTGAAGGTATCTAGACCTGTTTGTGAAATGCAGCGTGTGTTAGCCTGATCCATCACGTGAGGGAGGGACAACTGTCTGGCAGCTCTAGAAGTCCATTTGAAGAACAGAGAAGTCAGTGCTCTGTTGGTTTTATTCTTTAGATAGGGAAGCATAGATGGGATGGAGATTTAAAAAAAAAAAATCAAACAAAAAACCCCACAAAAATGGGTTGGGAGGAACTAAATGCATCTTGAAAGTTTTTCTTGGCATCTGACTCCCACAGGGAGATGTTGAGCAGTCAGGCAGAAATACCTACTGTAACCTTTGCATCCATTCTTGTTCCATGGCAGGAGCAGTTAGATGTAATCCTTAAAGAAGAGTTTAGACCATTTTTTGAAGGTTTACTCCAGAGAGGAAGCACATCTCATGTTTCTCTTGTCTTCCATAAAATATTCTCTGTAGCCTTTTCCTCATCTGGCAGAAGCAAACTCTCCCCACCCCAAACACTTCAGGGCCTTTTCTGGCATAACTGCATTAAAATGTAGCATTCTAACATAAATACAAAGTAAAAAAATCAGTAGACCTCTCACTTTTATTCTTTGCAACTTTATTTTACAAAAGAAATAACCTTTATTTTTTTTTTTTTTAAGGGGTAGCAGGTTTTGACACACATGGGCACCCAAGATTATGAATAGTGAAGACAATGAAGAGTGGGACATCCATCAAAGAGTGACAACTTCTTATAAGGTAAATCAGGAACACATTTAATTTATCCTGTTGTACTTGCAAAACCAATTAAGTAGTTGTTGTTGTCCACCATTTTCATGGCACTGTACAATCATTACAACCAAGAATGTATAGGTGCTTTTTTTTTTCCCCTCTTTACTTAATTTCTTTTCTTTTAATTGCACAGAGAAAGCCCATATGTAGCAATACAAATGCATACTAAGTTCTGAATGAGATTGATTACAGTTGCAAAACATTAAATGTTAAGTGCCAAATGGCTAATGACTTCCAGTAGTCTTCCTTTCCTTCTCCAAAGATTGATGATAGAAATGGGGATTTGCAAACAAGAATTTTAAATGATCTGTGGAGCAGAAGTGAAAATGTTTTCGAAGCTGGTGTGTACCTAAGAACTATCCTGAAACCTTTAATGTTACAGTGAAGTATTCTTGTAATTTGAATTTCATTGCTTGCCATAGGGGTGAAGTAAAAGCGTCGATATTTACAGAAACTGCGCAAGTGATAAAAGGAGCTGCTTGTGCCTGACTTTGTCTTCTGCTTTGTATGTTTTAGTACTTATGTACTTTAGTACTAGCTCATTTGAATAAGCTCTGCTAGTCACATGCAACATATGGGGCTGGTGCCAACTTTTTATAATGCTGCATTACAAATATACCCACCAGCTGAGAAGTGTGATAGAAAGAGCTTTGCTTTTTCTTAACCAACTGTCTTCATAGATATTTGTAAAGGGGGATATTGCTGTCCCCGTAAATGAAAAATCCCATTTCTCTTCATCTGTGTAGTCATCTTGTCTCTTTCTGTAGCATTTTTGAGCGACTAGTTTGACCTTCATTTTCAGGATCACATGAAATCCTGCATGTCTTAGTCCTTTACAAGAAGGGGCTATGGATATGGCAGTAGAAAGTTTGTTTATATTAACTTTTGATCAGATATTCTCAGTTTGAGAGAAAAGTTTTTATATCCTGTTTTTGAACACATGGAGAAAGAAGGGCTAAAGGGGCAAGCTCTGATTTGATTTTATTTTTTAAAATTTTTTTGTAAGGATCTTCCCCTGGCTTGTGCTTACCAGTCAGGTTCTACTATCAGTTTTCACCTGTAAATCCAAGGAAAGATCTTGTTCTTGTGGTTGGAATTTCATTAGCAGTACTATTAGTGGTGTGATCTAGAATGAAGTCAAGCTCACTGTCTTATAGGTGAGCATGCTCTGAAGTGCTAATTGGAGTTTAGAAAAGAGCTTAGCAAAAGCTTATTAAAGTCAATAGAAATGCTTCCATTATCATCAGATTAACCAAGTTTGATTTTTGGAATATGCTGCAAAAGCTGAACTACTGTGTTAGCAGTTGCCAGTTTGTAAATCCCCTTTTCTTCCGGTGTCAGATAATGGAATTCATACTAAAAACCAAAACAAAGCCAGGAACAAAGTCACATATCACCTATTGAGCTAAAAAGTCTTTTTCACAGCTCTGTGCTGAAATAGGGGTTGTTGCCATAAATGGTAAGTTGAAGCATTTCTAAATATCAGCCAGGCATTTGCTGTCTGTTCCACATTTCCAATGTAAGTAGGGTCATTGTAGCTACCTGTTAATTCTGATTGTATATCTCTCTCCAAGAAGCAGATAAATAACTTCTTTGCAAGGGGCACAATTAGGTTATAGGTGAGTGAATAAACATCTGTACCTTTATCTGGAAAGATGGCAGTGACTGATGTTTTCACTTTTCTCTTGTGTGTGTATCTGGATCACAGGGAAACAAGTACCCAGTGGGATATTGGGAGCTGATTGCATTGTCTTTTGAATGACTTATGAATCATGAGGTTCTGGAAATCCTTATGATATTTACGTAGAAGAAGGTTTAGGTGATGTGTGTTGACATCCTGATAAAACAAGGTTGCTGTAAATTTTAAGTTTTGCTTAAAATTAATTTTCATCTTTAGAATTTTTTCCTTCTACTTCAATCTTGATTAAGTTCACAGGAGTCTAAATAATTTTTTCTTCCTCTTTTTTATCTTCTAGTTTTGTGTTAATATCCATTGCAACAGTTCTTGAATATTTTCTGTGACTCCTATTGCTCAGCTTTACCTTGCTAATACCCTGCTTTTATTCTTTCTTCTGATATCCCTTTCCATTCTAGGAATACCTGTTAATGGGATATGATTTGCAATGTATGTGAAAGTGTAAACACTTAACAGACTTCATATATTGTGGAAGAAATGCCTAAATACCTGTATATTATTTTTTCCTTGTCCCCAGCTGGGTAGCAAGTAGAATTGCAGATGAGTACTTTCCAAACAGAGCATGGAGTACAGCACTTCTTTCTTTCGCAATGTATTCTTGTGTCTAGGCTCTTTTAGAGTGGCTGTTTTAGCCTTTTGGCACAGCTCTCTTACACACTTGAATTGTATATTCAAGTAATTATAACTTTAATTGTTCTGGTATATGTTCTCCTGGTGTTTGACATGGCCGTATTAACTGCACTTATGTGTTTTTGGGTCTTCTATATTATCATCTTTGTGTTTGATTTTTGGAATATAGAGGTATTGGCAGTCTTTATGTACTAATAAATATGTCCACAAGCCAAAATACAGATAGTAGACTGTAATTTAAACAAAAAAAAAGGAAAGGAAAGGAGGAAAAGAAAAAAAGAAAATTAAAGTTTTCAGTTTGAACATTAGTGTTACTAATATTCATATGCTGTAGGTCACAGGAAAAGATTATATTAGTAAGATGAAAATATTTTCACTGAAGCTTAGAGGTGATACATTTCTAGGAAAAAAGCAATCATAGTTCAGTTGCTCTGGCAGTGCAGTGCTGTTTCATGCAACAGTTTAGATGATCTGTTTAACCTGTGTCTCTGGAGTTAGTGGTGTTAACTGTGTTGTGATTTTTTAAATGAATATTGGTTTCTGGAGATTTTTCATTTTGCTTATTGCTTAGGTGCTTCAGTTGTGGACTATTGTTTGATGCTGGCATTTCTGAAGAAATTGTTTACTATTTATAATGTGTAAGTGTCCTTTTCTTTTGCAGTTCAGTGATGTGAACCACGTACTCTGATTTTGCTAGCAACAGTGAGATTGTTCGGTTTTTATCCTATTTATAAGATGACTTTGCATATAGAGAGTGAATCTTAGCATTGCTTTTCATTAGCACTGACTTTTTTTTTTCTAGATATCTCTTTACTGGTTCCAATCTTAAATTATTCATGCTTTATATTGATTGAAGGTGACGAGTGTGACCTCATGACGCTTCAGTAAAAGCCAGATTCAGCTAGGATGTTACACCATCACTGTCGGAGAAACCCTGAACTACAGGAAGAGTTGCAGATTCAGGCTGCAGTTGCTGCTGGCGATGTTCACACCGTGCGCAAGATGCTGGAGCAGGGATATTCTCCAAATGGTCGAGATGCCAATGGTTGGACTTTGCTTCATTTCTCTGCAGCAAGAGGGAACGAGAGATGTGTCCGTGTTTTTCTTGAACATGGAGGTGAGTTTCCTAGAAAGAAAAATCTTGATACTCATCTTGCAGCTCTGTATCTCAGTTTCCATTGCAGGGATTTCCAGCACTGGTTAATTATCAGTGCTGATGCCTACTTCTGATTTTGGTTTTTTTTAATCTATTTTTCTTTCTTTCTTGGATTAGTACTTCATCTCTGTTTCTTTCTGATGCATACTCTGTGAATGAGGTAATAGATTAGCTTTATATCTTAATACCTTACTCCTTTTTTTTTTTTTCCCTCCCAACAGAATTGCCTGGGAATTGTTAAAAGAATGAATAAGCATTATGAAAATAGGGCAGAAGGGCTCATTATAAAATTAAATGCACTCACAGCACTTGCTATAGGCTTTTCTTCTCTGTTAGGGGGTATTATTAGAGGAAGGCAGGTACTAGAATCGAAATGTGAAGGAGGTTTGTTTCATAATTCTCGAGCAAGTTAACAAGTCTCCTTAAAGACTAAGTTTCCATGGAGGCTTTAACACAGTCTGCTAAACTTCATGAAAACAGTACTCTTTGTGCAAGGACTCTAGTGTCAGCTAGTCCAGTTGAGTTTACACCTCTCCTGTATCCATCCATAGTGAAGCTTGATTTCAAGAACCGATTGAGTTTTGTTGGTTTAAGTGATATACTTGATTACCCCTCAAATGGTAGTCAGAATTTTTTATTATTAATTTTTTTTCTATATCTTGTTTCAAGGCCACCTAAAAGTTTTAGAAATGGATAGTTTTAATCTTTTAATGTAATACTGGAAAGGAAAAATAAAAATTGGTATTCTCCACATTCTGATTCATGCTCTTAAAGGATAGCATCCTCTATTCTAGCACTGTTCTTATCAAATGAATTATGAACTAAGATGTTTTCAGTCCTAAGGAAACTGAAATTATCTTTTTGATGCTTTATGTATGAGGCCATATGGGCCCCTTCTGCGTATTTCAGTATTTGTCAGATGTATGGATCACCCTTAAAATTGAATGGCATTAATAGGCTGTGGTATTTATGCAATTAGTGGTATGTTCCTGAAGAGCCGTAGTAAAATACAACCTGTTGATATACCTATTATGAAATATGTTGTGTTTAACTCTGTAAGCTTGAAGATCTAAAAAAAACCCCACAAACCACCCTTATGTATTCCTACGTATCTTCATTGTATAGATTTTGATATTAAATAGCTGCTGATGCAGTGTTTTGTTTTTATTTTTGTCGTTTCTCTTTCCTTTATGAAGTACCAGCTGAATCTGATGGCTCCTAAAAACTGCCTGTAATGAAACATCCTTGTTCTGGAAGCAGTGTAGCGTTTAATCACCAGGGCTAGAAAGTTGAGTAACAAATAGTGTGAGGGTTAGTCATCTACGACAGCTTTCCTGTAGCTGAGCCTCACTTCAGAAAATTGGCACTGATTTGTGCCTTGCCTTGTTTTCCCTCAAAACAGAAGCATAAAAAATAATGAGTATTTAAAACATAATCATGTCACAAATGAGCTAGTAAGCAGTGAATGAGATGACTCTTAAAAGCCACGTTAATCATACCTGCCTCATTAGTGAGAGGTTTCTGTCCATCTTTCTTCACACAGTCTTCACCTTCCTCCTTCTAAAGAAGTGGATTATTTTGAAGTGGGAGCTTAATCCCCATGGATCAAAATGATATTGGGGTGAAGGGGAAAGTAATTTTCTGGTGTGAATCTTTTGGTAAACAAAGTATTGAACTGACTATATATTAGTAATAAAGAAGATAGCGAGAGGGAGTGGATGGAGTTCTGGAAGAAAAAGGGAACTGAGATGTTAGTGGGAAGGAAGGGACATCTGGTGACAGTTGTGGCTGTCTAGAGGGGTGGTGAAGCTTAGCAGAGCTGGAAGTATTTTCATAGTACAGGAATGAGAAAACCAGGCTGGGCTGTTGCTGAGGGTAGAGTGCTGTGCCTCAGATCTGAGGTGCTGGAAGACTGCTGACCTAGTCTTGCATGGTAGTGGGATGGAGATGGATTTTGGCTAATAAAGGCTGAGAAGGAATCTGGTCACTGACCTGGAAATAAAAAGTAGCTTCTTATGAGAGTCATGACCTGGCCACCTCCTGCTTTTGTTTTTTTTTCTTCTCTCCCATCATTGCTCACCAGTAAAAAAAGCCAGAAGACAGCACTGTGCATGCAGATTGGCTGATTTGAGTGGAGGAACAGGAGGAAGCTTTTTATTATCTGCTGAGCAAGGAGACACAGATAGATGGGGAAAATGCATTAAAAACCAATCCAGACTAAAGGACGAAGCCAGCAGAAATACCAACTAGATACAGAGGGAGTAGGTTGGATAACAAATATTCTTTAGCAAGTGATGAAATGCAGAAAGTTGATCAGAACTATGGAGAAGCTTAGTATTAATGAAAAATAGTGAATTTGACTTTCTTAGTGTATTTGTCTCATTTTAATAAAGTGCAGATTCTATGAAGCCAGCTCTTTCCATCCATAGAAACAATCTAGAATTACAAAACTCAACAGGAAAGCAACACAAAAATAGGGAGTGTAGTTTTCAGTAATCTTGAATTTTTGTGTAACAAACCTTTTTTTTCCCCCTTTAGTGTACTTTTTTTCTTTCAAAATGACGTATTGAGACAGACAATCCAAGGCTGGACAAGAACTGTATTTTATTAATCCCCATCCACCACTCTTAATGTTACAATCAGCTAAAGTCTTGAAAGTGTGTAGTTGTTTGCCTCCCCTTGGTAATATCTTCTCTTGAGCAGGACAGTTTCTGGTTACTTGTATTAAAGTAAAGAAATGATTCACTAAAGCTTTTAGAAATTAAAGAGTAACAGAAGGAAGTAGCCAAACAGATATATTTAATTATTTTTAGTCTTGGCTACAAGGTATCTAAATTTTAGTAAGGTGACACAGAATCTGGGAGAAACTAGAGGATGCCAAATGTTCATCCCCCTAAACCAGCTCATAAAGTGTTTCTGTGTTTGAACAGCAATGCTTTCCTGCCTTTTATATCAGTGTTGTCCTGGAAAATTCAAAACAGAAGGTTTATGTAGCCGTGTTTCTAAACCTTGTGGTCAGAATTAAGCCCTAGTCGAGGGAAGCAAGCTTGAAATAAAGTACTTTCCGAAGCCAGAAGCATTGCTTTTTTTGGCTTCCCAAATTAGACTGTGATAGAGTGACCCAATGAAGATGTCATGAAAGCAAAACTGCCCCACTGAGCTGTAAATTGAAACTCTAAAGTATTAGGCACGTGTTTAGTCATCTGCATATCCTCTAGATTACAATATGAAAAGTGTCTCATCAACAGCAGAGTTCAAATGAGTTTAGGTGCCCACCCTTGACATGAAATAATCTGAATATCATTGTGTTGCAGATTTTCACTCTCAAATGAAATTAATTGCAGTAATTTGGTACCCTTGATAGGCAGTTCAAGATTTATAGCACCATATTATGTCTTGTATTTAAGAACATTAGAAGTGACCAAATGCAGCTGTTTGTATTTCTAGATTCTACTCTCCCCAAATTAATGGGAAGCTTAACAAGAAATAACTATAATTGTTTGACAGTCAGGATGGAGGTAAGATAGAGATGGTGGCAAGTGCTGGCTTCATCCCTTCCTAGTTAAGTACATTTGTACCAGGTGCTTTTTTTTTTTTACCCCTCTGCAGATTCTGAAAGGTAAGCTAAGAGAATTCTTTCCAAATTCATTTTACCTTGCTTGTGTTCCAGGGGAAGAGAGTTACTTAACAGCATGATACCAATACTAAAGCCTTTTAAAAAACAAACAAACAAAAATTCCCACAACAATCCAAGTTCTTGAGACAACATCAGCTTTGTAGCATTACTTTTACTAACAGGGGGACTGAACGAATGGAAATTGGTACAACTTCTGCTAAAAGCCCTTGTGAAGTTCAAAAGTTTTCCTGGAGATGGCAGCAAAACATTGACTGAATAGCAACAAGTAATGTTTTGGTCTTGTTAAAATTGTTTCCCTAATCAAGGGGGAGACTGGTACTATTAGTTCATAATCTTAACAGGAATTACAGTATTTTTATCATGAGGTTTTGCTGCCGGGCTTACTTTTGGGAGATTTATTGTTTGTGTTGCTTGATTGTCCAACTGAGAGACTTTTTTTCCTATTCTTGTTGAGACACTTCTCTTACATGACTTAGTATTTTTCTGCTTCACTTTAGTGGTCAAAAGCAATGAAATTTTGGGAGGAAGGAAAGCACAGAAAGGTACCTAAGACCATAGGTAAAAGTCATCCTTATAATGCAAGTAAAATTGTTGGGTTTGGATTACAACTTGTATTAAAATGCATACAGATGCACACACAAAAGTTGGGGCATATCTGACTGAATTTGGAAATAGCATAGACTAAACAAGCTAGTGGCAATATCCTGCACCTCAGCTGGGGGGTAGATATAATTGACTTGCATGTCCTACACAGCATGGAAGAGAGAAGGCACGACATGAATATTTTTTTTTTAATGCTTTTTGTGGAAAATGGCCCTGGCTGCTGCTGTCTCCTTTCCATTATGTCCATCTTTCTCCCTAATTCTGCCTCTCAAAATGTATCATCCTTCTGCATCTTAATTCTCATGCTTGTGTTACTCATTTGATTTATCACCAGCCAGTGGATAATCTAGAGTAGTCTGAGCAATGTGAAGAGAGAGACCCTGGGAGCAGCAAACATCACTTTGAAATAGTATCTTTGTCTTTAATGACTTTGTGGGTTGTACTGATTCTTTACTATATATTGGGCATTGTCTTAGTGCAGGTTAGGAACCACCTAGTCAGTCACTGACTTCATTTTCCTGCCAACCTGTGGATGCTTCATCAATTACTTTAACTCAGGTTAGTGTAACTTTACAGAGCTTTGAAACTTCTGCTTTTCACAGTGGCTAGGCAGGCTGTCACTACTAAGGGACTAAACTTTCCCTTTACACTTTTCTCTCCTTATTTCTAGGTTCCTATTCTATACACTAGAGGCAGTTCTCACACTTGGTTTCTCTATGTAGTCAGGCTGCATTAGTTTGTATGTTGGATTTTTGTTTGTTTTTCCTCCCTCCCCTCAGTCTTCACTTTACATTTTAAAAAAAATCCATAAAGCTGCTGGATCACCTTTGCAGGTGTATTCTGTACTCCTTCTTGCCAGTCCTTTTATTTTGGTGTGACATCTATCTCAGTGTGTTATCTGGATATGGTCAGAGTAGGTCTATATTGGGAAGTTTATTGCTGTTGTGTTAGTACCTTTGTGTGTTCAGATGTGTTCAGGCTAAATTAGCTTCCAGTTTATATTGTATTGTGAACTTAACTTAAAGCAGGTCTGAATTTTGAGATGCAAATTGGTGTCTTCCACCCTCTTCCCTTTTTCTGTTTGAGTGTGATGGCAACTGAGCAGAAAACTCTGCCCTCTCTATGAGGTACAGGAGGGCAATGTGTGTGAGCATTGGGTGTTCACAGCCTTCAGTCAGGTTTGTTCCAAACCTGCATGGTCACAATGTCCTATTCTTTTTTTTTTTTATTATTATTTCTTTTTCTCCTTCCCTCCTGCTGTCCCCAGACCACTGCTACTTTCCTTCTAAATGCAGTATAGATGAAGAAATTAAAATTAATCCAATGTGCCAGTATGCAGGGACAGGCCTTTCAAGATTATGGATGGTGGGCAGACACCCTTGTGCTTGTCTGCACTTAGAGATGATGTGCTTTGTGCACAGATGTTGTATGATTGCAGGGCAAACAACAACACAAGCAACTGGGAATGACAGACCCCAGCAGTTGTTTCAATAGATGCACAGGAGTATTGAAAACATGTCAACTTAAAGGCTAGTACCTTGTGCAGATAGTTATCTCTCTTTACCAGCTAGGAGACTGAGGTCAGGAAAGTGCCTCAAACTTCTCCAAAATGTAGTTTGTACCTTTTAGCATCTGACAAGCAGCAGCTACGGATGGTGGAAGGAGAAACCTCGCAGCCTGGCTTGTTCTCTAGCTGAGAAACGGTAACGAGGCAGGCACCTTTCCTTTGGTAATTAATTTGGTACACAGGAATGTCACTTGCTTTACAAGTTTGGATGTCCTGAGGAAATCAATTTAAGTACGTTGATTTGATTATTTTAATTTTTAAATTCATAAATCAGACTGAGTTTTTGTGCTGTGTTGGTGGGGAAGGGATCTGTGTAATCACTTTTATTCTGCACTGACATTTTTTCCTGACTCCTTCCATAAGTGGATGCTTACATTCTTGTCAAATCTTAAATTTTTGTAAAACTCTAAATTCAGAACAGATTCATCATCTATAATAACAGACTTTATCAAGATAATCTAAAATAACATGTATCCTACAGGCTTTGGAAATCCTGCAGACCACAGAGAAACATTTTACCTAATACAGTATTACACCCTAAAAACAATACAATGCTGCCAGACCACAAAACATCCGCAATGTGGGACAGCAGATGTTTCTACACATGCTTCTCTTTAAGACCAAGAAGCAACACAAGGGAAAATAAAAAAAAAAAGTTGAATATTGAGAAAGAAATGCAATATTGTAGAGCTGGAGGAAAACTGGATGGACAGAGAGATTTGAGCAATTAGCCTAAGAGTGCTAGGAAGATGTGGAAAACTATTTGTCAAATGGAAACATATGTATATGAAAGAAAAAGTCTTTTTTGTGTGTGTAACTCTTAACTTAAATATAATTTAACTTTTTCTTAAAAATGGCATGTTCATGAAAGCAAGAATTAATTTGAAGCACAAAGAAATCCTCTCATGCTATGCCTGAAAAGACTAATATTCAACCTTTTTATTATTATTTTTTTTGCAGCACTGGATTACTCTAATGCCTTCTAATTATTTTTTGTTTTTTTAATTTTATTTTAACTTCAGCTGATCCCACAGTTAAGGACTTAATTGGAGGCTTCACTGCTCTACATTATGCAGCCATGCATGGCCGAGCGAGGATTGCACGCTTGATGTTGGAATCTGAATATAGAAGTGACATTATTAATGCAAAGAGCAACGATGGTTGGACTCCCCTGCATGTAGCAGCTCACTATGGCAGAGACTCATTTGTCAGGCTCCTGTTGGAGTTCAAGGCTGAGGTTGATCCGCTCAGTGATAAAGGTACAACGCCGCTTCAGCTGGCCATTATCCGAGAGAGGTCAAGCTGTGTGAAAATCCTGCTGGATCACAATGCCAACATCGACATTCAAAATGGTTTCCTGTTACGATACGCTGTGATCAAAAGCAATCACTCTTACTGCCGAATGTTCCTTCAGAGAGGGGCGGATACAAACTTGGGTCGCTTGGAAGATGGACAGACACCCTTACACTTGTCTGCTCTTAGAGATGATGTGCTTTGTGCACAAATGTTGTATAATTACGGAGCAGACACTAACACAAGGAACTATGAAGGACAGACCCCACTGGCTGTTTCAATAAGTATTTCTGGAAGTAGCCGACCCTGTCTGGATTTCTTACAAGAAGTGACAAGTATGTATGTAAGAGAAGTTAATCACAGGACACAGTGTCCTCTAAAAGCCTTCTTTGAATTTAGCCCCAGAAAAATATGCTTCCTCTCTGCCCCTTGATGCTATTTAAATGCACTAGAAAGTTTCTGGGAAGGTGAAGGGATTGTGATACTGGGAATCTCTTACTCGGTAAAGGTGCTAATGTTAAGTATATTTCTTTTAAGTTAATTTTGTTTAAGTATCTCCAGGAAGCATTAACTTTAAAACAGTGAACTGTAAAAATCTCATTTTATTAATGACCTTAACACATAAGATATTTGTGGTTTGGGGATTTTTTGGTTTGGTGGGGTTTTTTTTAGTGTCTTTTGCTTTTTTTTTAATCGTCCTGCAAACACTCTGCTCTTGCTGGCTTTTTCATCTGCCACTACGACTAGGACAGAAAAGAGCTTTTGCTGCTTTGTGTTCCCCCACATTCTCCCTCCCTCTCCCCTACACCAGACGACAAAATGACATAGTTTATTCGTGCAACTTGAAGGGGTTTCATGTGCTGTGTAGCTTTGATTTGATTTTGTTGATGTCTTTGAGATATGAAGGAGATTTGAACTCTTCATGACTTCTGATATTTAAAAAGAGTATTAGGCTCCTAATATGCTGGTCACTTTTGTTTATCAGTTTTTGGTGTACTAGATGTGCTGAAAGTTTTCTCTTCCTCTCTCATTCAACAAGGAATGCTATCATAGTGTTTCATAATTATATTATTGCCTAAAGCATTTTGGAATCGCCGATTAGCAATTAGCAGGAGTTTGCTACTTCAAACATGTTAAGATGGCCTGATAAACTGTCATCCTACTAGGATGATCTTTGCACTACTTTGTGGTATTTCATATATCTTTTT